TACGTTTGCCCCATTTTGGTATCATAACCATTATGATGAAACATACTTGTTTTTTTTATCACTTTAATGCCATATACAAAAATAAATGATAAAGAGGAAAAAGTCGTAACCCAGATAGTCATTAGAGTAATACTATTCGAGACCAAATTCTCAAGATCCAAGGGTCTTTAGTATATTGAGGTTTTAGTAGATATCATGATCAAATGATTTTTTTTTACCTCCTAACTATGACTAGACTAAAACAAACAATTTCTCAATTATGTTTGCTATTAATATGGGAATCTTAGAAAGAGATAAGCAATTGAGGCGAATACTTGATACAGTTTCAATGTGGATCACCCTACCTCCAAAAGAGAAAGGAAGTGTCTTTCCATTTGTCTTGCCTCTTTAAGAACTTGAGAATCAATGCATTTGGGGTTATCTCTATGAGATTTTTTCCTAATAAAGCCTGAGATAAATAGTTGAGCAACTTAAGATGCACACGACTAATTTTCAATAACCTTTAAAGACCTTAATTGTTATTGTTAATGCCAACTAATCTCAAGGCCAAAAATGATATCAAAAATTCAAAGTAAATATATGACATAAAGAAAAATGCTTGTAGTTAATAGAAGAAATGAGTTGTAAATGTGAGATTTTCATCTTCGCAAGCCTTAATAATCTTTTAGTAATGTGAATACACATATACTTCTATAAAAATCTATACAACTATATTAATATATCTCTATATATTACTATGATATAAATATATGGTTATATATGGTATGAGTAAGAGCCAAACACACTTTTCCAATAGATATATGGATATACATGTGATACTCGCATATTAAACTGAAGGTGACTCACTTTTCCGAACATTATACATATATATATATATATAGATAGTATTAATATGTAAATCAAAACACTTATTCTTAACATTACTAAATGAATGAATAAATATATATTTACTACTAAAATTTTCTAAACAATATATTCAAGACAGACATATGCAAATGTGTGAAGAAGTTGATGATTAATGGTTAGTCTTCCTAAAGGGAATGGAGAAATTAGAGAGAAAACTGAAGTTTATTTGAGGAGCTGTTCTTCGATTATTTCTCGTTGCAACAAATCTTTAATAGTTTAAAATTCAACACTTTAGAAGAACTAGAATTTTCAATTGAATAATTTTGATATGTTCTTTATCTAACAAAATTAGACACTGACAATCGAAGGTTTAAAGCACTATTTAATAAATTGTATGAAAATGACAACTTCAATTCTACATTTTGGTGTCTTTAAGAAAATAATGAAAGTAGAGAGATGAATATAAATGTTAATTTTTGCTCATAATTTGTATTGTCATTATTATGGTAAATTACTAAATTAGTCTCGGATGTTTGATTTTTATTATAACTAAATTCTTAATATTTTATTCGCTCCACTTTGGTTTATTATGTTTTGTGTTCATTTCAAATGTTCAATTTCCATTATATTTTCTAATGAAAAAATTTAAAATAGATAGGTTGCGGTACAGGGCAGACGATGATGATGAAGCTGAGTACGGGTGGCGCGACGATGGCCGACGGCAAGATGAGTACTTGAGGACGACAGGCGGTTGACGAGTTGTGGGAAAGGGAAGAAGAAAACACAGAAAGGTGGCGACTTGACAGACCGGCGGAAGCAAGGGGGACCGTTGATCTGGTGCGTACCTCCGTGGTGATTTCGGCTATGAAGGGGCCGAGGCAGAATGCAAACATGCGAGGGGAAGAGAATATAGGATGGAAGAAAGGAGGGGAAGCATAGAGAAGAGTACTGGAAAAAAGAAAGCAAAAAGTAGAGGGGAAGAAAAGAAAAAGGAGGAAGAAAGAAGGAAAAGAGAGAAAAGACGAGGAATTGAAGGAAATAGGAAGATACGGGGCGAGGAACTTGAGCACTTTCCTCTGTTTCTGGAAAATTTAGGAAAGAACCAGAAAAAAGAGCCTGAGAGACGGAGAGCCTGCGGATGAAGAAATAAGTAGAAGGAAGAGAGACGAAAAGG